AGAAGACATTCAGTCAACACATATACTTTCATTACTGGTTCAGTCAACAGGGATTGTCAAAAGTATAACATGCCTGGCCACACACCTGCACAAGAGGAATCCAGTCACTGCAGACTAGAGAGAGTGTCTGACTTGGTTAACCTTGTTTGTGGGCCACTCCTCCACATCTCTCATATGAACTTTTACTGCAACTGATTTCTGTACTTCTCTAGTTTTCCCTCTCTTTCTATTCCTTCAACTGCTGCTTCTTGTCTCTTAAAAAATCTACCTGAGGCAACAAACCCTACCTCTTACTCTGCCTCCTTTTTGCCCTTAATGACATTTGCCACACCTATATCTATCCCACTCTCAAGTCTTTACCATTGCTCAATCAACCCTTCTTGCATTCCTACTCTGTCCTTCTGACCAGTCCACTCCTCTTTCTTCTCTTCACTTGCTGCAGCTGGAAGATACACTTTAAATGTTTCCCACAGGCCTATTAAATCTCAGTGTCAACACGCCCTGGATGTCCTTGTCTGACTCTCCCTCTGCAGCTTCAGCCTCCCAGAGAGACCTTAGTTTCTCATCACATCCCACCCCTTACCCTCTCATGGAGGCTGCCCTCACCATCCCTGTCACTTTTTATCTGCTTTTGAGCCATATCTCATCTCTATGAAGAACTGTCAACCAGTCAATCCACTCCTTCTGATCAGCCCTCCTCTGTGATTTCAGCTGACTCTCTTCCTTTCATCACAATTTCTCACACTCATGCTCAGGAAGCTTCCAAGCTTCACGCTGATGTCCTTGCTGACCCTATAGCAGACACCTGTACGCCTCCTTGCCCTGGTTTGTTCATTTCCCCTGCACCCCTTACTCAGTGTCCTACACCCTGGAAGAGCTATTCCTTTGATGGTGTCTGCAGCAACCATTGCTTTCCCCCTGACATCTGTTGTCCCACCCTTTCTCTCTGATCTTTTTTGTCTCTTGCCGTGTCCTTCCTCATGTCCTCTCATTTGCTCTTTCCATTATTTTAATCTCAGCAGGTTGATAAAATCCCATCTAATCTCAGCCCTCTTCCTCCTGCTTTATCTTTCTTCTCTAGCACAGATTGATTGTAGGTTCTCTGTTTCTTACTCTCCACTCCTATCACATGAAGTCTGGTTGCCAAACTCTGCCTTCAGCTTCAATTTCCTGGCTGACCTGTGATCAGGTTTACTTCATCCACAACCATTTGATTGTCTCCCCTTCCAGTTATGACATCCTTCTAATTTTTCCTCCTACTTTTCCAAGTTAAATGAAGACCTGACTGCCTTTCACCATTTTTAATGCATTTTTTAAATGCTCTTTTCCTGAATACCTTCTGCACAAATCCTTGCCAAAGGAAATCTTAATATGCTCTCTTCCTACAAGTTTATTCCTTGTCACACATGTTGAGTGTTTTTTCCTTCCTACTTTTACACATTCTGCTTGTCCTGTTACAACATAACTTCTGATCTGTTTCATATTAATTTTCATTCACTGCCTCAGTTTTCTTCTGAAGTTTTGACCTTCCTCCAACTCCTTGTCCTCACATTACAGACATGCTCTAATAAACAAACACACCCTATGCTGAATCCCATCGCTATTTCCAGCACTATCACTTCCCTTCTCAATATGCTGCTTACACTTACTGTCCAGTTTTTGCCCTCTCCAGATCAATGTTGGCCCCTAAGACAGATAACACCAACACCCAGCTAAAATTACCTGCACTAATATCTACCCAAAACAAAACTCAGAGCCCACATGATTTTATTCTTCTTGATTATCTTTGTCACCGGCAAACTCGTTATTTCTCTCAACTCTTATCCTCATTTAGCCTCTTTGGGCTCTCTTACTCTCCTCCTCCTGACCACAAACTTAAATCAATCTTACACAAGGACAAGTTACTATAATCTTACAAATCTTTCCTGAAAATACTCACATATTTTTTCTTAGCATCTTGCCAATATACCCATCAATGTCTATGCTGGGAGTCAGGATGGTGTGACTGATTCCTTGTGCTCCCTGTTGTATCTGCAGTCAGGCTTGGACTGCTGACTTTTGAAGAAAGGCTTTTTTATTTTGTGTCTGGCCTAGCCTCAATGCTAGGGTTCCCACTGTCTTGAAAATATAATTAAACAAGGGTATGCACTACTTTGGAAAAGTTGCTCTCCTGTAGCTGCCTATTCAGACACCAAAGCACAATGCAATCAGTCACTAATCTCTCTTGAAAATGTAGATCTAGGTTATTATTTTTAGCTCAGAACTTTTAACAACAAATTCCAGTGTCTTTATGCTATGCCAGCAGTGCAAAGCACCCACAAACTCAGCCTAGAAAGCCAGATAATGCATCCAAAGGTGCAAAGATCTAAGGAAGATGAGGCTTAAAATCTGGCTTTCAAAAAGCTTGCATTTCAGAAAGCTTGCAGAACTTTTTTAACCATTTCTCTACAAAAGTATCAGTAACTATTCTGAATATTGAATAATAAACACCTACTAACTGTATGAAAAGCCAAAGGTCTTTTAGCTTTTTTTAATGACATTTCCAGCTAGTGGAAATGTTTATGCTCATGCTCAAGCTGGTGTTACTGGTGGAGTTAGCAGTAAGTTCCTCACAGGATATATATGAACTGCTACAAGAGGTAGCATAAAAAACCTTATTATCATAGATAGGAAAGATCCAAAACAGGCATTTGGAATAAAAATCAAACAAATTAAGAATAAGCCTCAACATAGTCAACACAAGTCCTGGGTCCAGCCCTGCTTTTGTTAAAACTGTTTGGAAGCCATGCCTCTCCTGGAAATAGGCATCTGGGCTCAGAAAAGTGGAAGCAAAAGGAGAAAAAGTGGCAACTCACTTGCTATGCACTACTTTCTCTAAGTACTGGCAGTCATGGGTAAATAGTACAGAAATATCTATTAAATCAAAGAACCTCTATGGAGTGTGATGATGATACACAACAATAACTTCAAAACATAACTGGAATTCTTATGATAAAGACTTCATTAAAATGTCATGTTAAAAAAGCAATTTAATGATATAAAATAGTAATTTAAAAAAATATTAGAATGCGCTAAACCAAAGATGGTGGAGGAGAGGTAGGCAAATGATCCTTTCAGCATAGACCCCCACTCCAGTCTCATTCCAGGTCCCCCACTCCCCCTCCCTCCCCAGCACCTTCCCACTGCCACTCTGCCACCTCTGACTCACCATACACCAGTCAGTGGGGCACTGGCTGACACCTGAGTGCACACACTGAGGAGACCCTATCAGTCTGGATAGTCAGGCAGCAGCTGTGAGCATCACTATCCCGTGGGTCCATGTGGGTGTGAAACCAGTAGTAGAAACCTCAAGATGTTAAAGGGATATTTACTTTCCTGTGGAAAAGTAAAGGGATATTTACTTTCTTGTGGTGAGTGAAGTATGAGGAAGAGAAAGGAAAGGTCAAAGGTAGGAGACAGCCACACGTGTTAAACAAAACTCCCCTCAACTCACAGTCTAATTCTAGGGATCCCCTATGCTTGCACCTGCTTTTGGTCCTTGCTTGGGGAAACGTCTCTTCAGGGGGGCTCTCTTCCCCTTTCTTAGAAGCTGGGACAGGCTCCATCTTCTCAGGATGGCCAAGGTACAAAGGGTGCTCCTGGAAGTTATAGCTGTCATCTGTTTCTCAGAGCTGTGGTTCATGAGAAGAGACCTCTACCTCAACAGACATAAGAGTGGCAGAGGGCGAGAGAGATGAGGGATCAAATTTACTGTCTCATTGACTTACGCTAACAGACACATCAGTGAGAAGACATCTGCTGTCCTGGAGAGAATGTCACCTAGTGGGACATCTTTTAGTACCTACATTAAGATGAATCCTATCTTCATTATTGATACCGTATTACCAAATCAAAGCAGACCCATTACTTTATGAATTCCTCGGTGTAACATTATCCTAGGGACACATCTTAATGGCTTTTTAAGGCAAAGTTGTAGGTATGCATCTACAGCTTGCTGCATTGCCTTTCATGTAATTATTCCACACAGCCAAGTCACCCAACCAGTCATAAGCTCTTGCTTTCTTATGGGGGTTAGCCAAAAAGAACAGATGAGAGATGCTGGGTTGATGGTTGGACTTGATCATCTCAAAAGTCTCTTCCAACCTTGATGACTCTGTGAAACAGGGAAACTAGTGAATAAGCCGCGTAATCTTCATTTGAGACTCAATTGTTTCCTTAAGAACCAGACTGTGCATGAAGGCAGCATTTTGCTACAGCCTTTCTTCTTTCACACGCGGTGTGAGTCAAGCAACTTAAGCACATTTGTGCTTCCCAGAGTCCTTTCCCCTCCCTCCCTCCTTCGGAGGGGACTGACTGAGACTTTTGCGGGGGTCTGACCTTGCAGGGTTGAAATGGGGGTACAGTGCAGGAAGGCAGGTTGTCTCCTCCTCGGGAAAGCCATCCTGGACCATGTTGGGTATTTAGAAACCTCGATGCCTGCAACTTCACATAGTGCATAAAACACGAAGTCGCTCTCTGGCCTTGACTCGAGAGGCCCAAGCCCATTCCTGGTCACTGATGCTCACGAACACGGCACCACCTTCCAAGCTGACAGTGCAACCCTGGTGAGCCTTGCTGTAGGGCACGACATCCGTGTGCCCCTCATCCCTCTCTGTGCGACTCCACGCACACGAGCCAAGGCTTAAAGCCCCCTTGCTCCCACCAGCCCCCAGCCACTGCCTCCTGCCTGCACGGAACGGTTAACTCGGCCTGGAGCGCTCCTGCCAGCTGCCCGTGTCCCCTCCTGTGCTATTAATACAGCGGGCACATGCTCCGACGCCGCGTTCCCCGGCAGCCCCAGATAACTTTAATTTGCCCTTTAAACGTCCCGGGCCGCGCGCTCCTCACGGCCCCGGCCCAGGGGGACCCGGCGGGGGCGGGCCCAGGGGGCTCAGCCAATGCCTGCGCCCCGGGGGCTGTCTCCTCCTATCGCGAGAGGCCGCGGGGTATAAGAGCGGCGGCGCGGGGTGGGGGGCCATTTGGCCGGCCGGGTGGGGAAGTGCGCGGTCGTTGCCTCTCTCGGGGCGGGGGTGTCGGACCGGCTCGCGGAATGGGAGACCAAGCGCTCAGCTTTGTCAAAGACTTTCTGGCCGGCGGGATTGCCGCCGCCGTCTCCAAGACGGCTGTCGCCCCCATCGAGAGAGTGAAGTTGCTGCTGCAGGTGAGGGGGCAGTGGGGGACGGGCGGGCGGTGGGGCCGCGCCACAGGTGGTGCCGGCGCGGCAGGCACTGCCTGGCGTGACTAAATATGGGAAGGAGCTCGGCCGGCTCTGGTTACGCGGGTACTGCCCGGGACCTTCAGCACCGCCTCGGGGTGGCGGGAGCTGGGCCAGCTCCGTCCGTGCCCTTCAGCGTGCGGGGTCACTCCTGCTGTGCCCTCTTTCTACCGTCCCGTCCTCCTCCTTCTCCCCCGTGCAGGTCCAGCATGCCAGCAAACAGATCACGGCCGATAAGCAGTACAAGGGCATCGTGGACTGCATAGTCCGCATCCCCAAGGAGCAAGGCATCGCTTCCTTCTGGAGAGGCAACCTGGCCAATGTCATCCGGTACTTCCCCACCCAGGCCCTCAACTTCGCCTTCAAGGACAAGTACAAGCAGATTTTCCTGGGCGGAGTGGACAGGCACAAGCAGTTCTGGCGCTACTTCGCAGGGAACCTCGCGTCTGGGGGTGCTGCGGGAGCCACCTCCCTCTGCTTCGTCTACCCGCTGGATTTCGCCAGGACCCGGCTGGCGGCTGATGTGGGCAAAGGAGCTACAGAGAGGGAGTTCTCTGGGCTGGGCGACTGCATTATGAAGATCTTTAAGTCTGATGGCTTGAGGGGCCTGTATCAAGGATTTAGCGTGTCTGTCCAGGGCATCATTATCTACAGAGCAGCCTATTTTGGGGTGTACGACACGGCCAAGGGTAAGAAGTGCATGGAGGAGTGACTGCAAGGGAAGATCCATCCAAGTAAAGGCACTCTAGAGCACTTGGTAGTACAAGGACAGGCAGGGCTTGGCTCAGTACCAGTTCAGAGTGCAGTGCTAGAACACACACAGGTGTTTCTGACATGCATTCCTGCCTCCCTCAACTTGCTGTTCTGAGCAGACGCCTTGGTTCTGGATTGACTCCTGGGGTTGGTGGGTGATTGTTCCTTCCACAGCCATCTTTCCCACAACCCTTTCCCTCTGTTCTGACTCTGCTCATTTGTTCTTGATGACAGGTATGTTGCCTGATCCAAAGAATGTGCATATCGTAGTGAGCTGGATGATTGCCCAGAGTGTCACTGCAGTGGCAGGGCTGGTTTCTTACCCTTTTGATACTGTGAGACGTAGGATGATGATGCAGTCTGGCCGAAAGGGAGGTAAGAATAAATGCTTCTATGGTATTCTGGCAGCAGAAAGTATCTCTTCATTGAGATAAGATGGGAGATACTGGATATTTTTTTCTCTTATGGAAAACTAATGACCTTCTTAATGGAATCCTTTAAAAACAACCTACGGGAAACACATTGTTGGTTATTTCTGTCATGTTCACTTAAAGGACTGAGAAATTACTTGATTTCCATGTGGGGAATTACTTTTCCTTAATTGATTACCTAAATTCTGGGCTATACTTTGCTTATTCCTTGGTTTAAAGATGGGGAAGTTGAAACATATTTGCTGTATAACTTCAAGTCTTATGACCTTTATGTTTGTTTCCACAGCTGATATTATGTATAAGGGCACAATTGATTGCTGGAAGAAGATAGCTAAAGACGAAGGATCCAAAGCATTCTTCAAAGGTGCCTGGTCGAATGTGTTGAGAGGCATGGGTGGAGCTTTTGTATTAGTACTTTATGATGAAATCAAGAAGTACGTCTAAAACCGAACATCATAATGTAGTAGTTCAATTGTTCTCAATCAACTTTTTTTTAAAATATGCTCTTGTGATGTAATGGACAACAAAATATTTCCTAGGGAAACAGAATAAAATTTGAGTAACGTATCTGGCAGAGATGAGGATGCAATTATTAAAAAATTGTCCACTACATCACAGCTACATTTTGTATGACAATTCCTCCAGCATTTATATTGGAACCTGTGTATATATTATACTTCAAATTGCAGGTAATAGATTTTGTCTAGAGACAAGACTTGGGTGGTCTATATCTAGTCTAAAATCTAATAATGTGCATTCTTAATAGATTGCTTAATACCATAAATACCCAACCATGTGATGATATAACATGAATTAAAATCATGTTTTCTTCTAAAGCTCTATTTTTTAATGATAGTAAATGAAAATGTCTGGAACTATAAATTCTATTGAAGCACCAGGCTGAGTTCCTAACTGCAGCCTCTTCACTGACAAATTACACAGTTTTATGGTTGAAACCATAATCTGATTTTTCAACCATTCTTTGTAGAATATGGAAATAAAGTGTTTCAAAGGTTCCCTGTATTGTGACAAAGCAAAAAGTTGTCTGCTCTGAGGTTCAATTGAACTAAAACTGAAATGAAATAAATTAATATATTAATGAACTTTTTTCTGTTGTTTTCAGTACACTGAACTCATTACAAGCATGTGTCTTCTAAAGTGATGTGCTAATCAGCACACTGTTAGTGACTGTCTCTTCAAAGTTTTTTCAACAGAGCTTTAGGGGTAGGTGGTTATTGATAATTCTACAATTGCAAAACCAAGTGGATTGAGTTTGAGGGTACTGCAGCCAGTTATCTTAGAGATAAGTTTCCATATAGTCTTAGCTGCTTTGATAATTTATGTTATCCTTAACTTTGAGGTGTGTCCTCGTTGAATAGTGAAGTCATTGCTGCTTATTTTACTTGAAAAAGTATTCTAGAGTGGGATACTCCTGAGTTATTAAAATAACTACACTTTCAACTACACCATTATGAACACACTGAGCTATTAATTACCAGTGAGATCAGAACATGCTCAATACAGTTTTTAAACTTTAGATGCTGCATGATTGTGAACTCACTGAAGAATAAGCTGTTCAATCAGGCAAAGAAGAGAAAGTGAGTTGTGGCTATTTCAGTTGTTAAGTTTGGCTATATATAAACAAAAATTTGGTACGTATCCACCTAGGAAAAGAATCATAGATTGAGAGCATGGTTTGGGTTGGATGAGACCTTAAAGATGACCTAGTTCCAACCCCCTGCCACAGGCAGGGACACCTTCCACTAGACCAGGTTGCTCAGGGCCCCATCGAACCTGGCCTTGAACACTTCCAGGGTTGGGGCATCCACAACTTCTCTGGACAACCTGGCCAAAGGGTAAGACTAAGCAAGTAATCATTAAATAAATTTTTATTTCACTTTCATCTTTTACTACTTCATATGTATGCCTCCCAGTTATCCCTCTTCTATATTTGAAACATTTATTGTCAGATGCAGGTGGTTCTGGCTCTCTGCCCCTTGGCGTGATAGGGTTTGTATGTCTGCCACAGGTTTCGACCAGCAGTTCTGTTCTCCCTGAAGGCAGGTACAGACCACTAAACAGTGTCTGGAAACTATCTATCCACCTGAAGAACTGAAGCAAAATTGGTCCAAAAAAAAAAAGATACTGTTTTTAAATTAACCAAATTTAAATTATTTGTCCCAAGACAAAACCTGGCCTGATTGTTACATCTCCCTTTTTTCATGGTCACTATCTTAAACACCTGCTTTCTAGCTATCTGGTCTGTTTTCTTTCCCATCGTAAATAACCATGGTCACAATCTATCAAACCATAAATTTGTGAAGAAAATATTTCTACTAGTTTTCAAAGTGCATTAGTCTTCCTTAAAAGCTTTAGCTGCCAGTTTCACTTCTCTTCCTTTTCTCCTTCCTCTACATTCCTAATGGTTCCTTATGAGAAGCCTGCTAACACACTCCAACTCTCCATTTTACATTTAGCTCACTGATTAGGTTGCAAATGGCATTTGGATGTGTTAGAGAAGACTGAAGTTGGCTACAAAGATGGCAGAGACAATGATGGACTGTAATAGGCAGAGTTACCAAACAATGGGGGGAAAGTGTATTTATGAATGAATAAGACAATTAAGAGGACACAAAGAAACTTACTTGGAAGTATAAATGAAGTTGCATTCCAGAAAAGAAAAAGGAAAAAAACCCACAAACATAGAGAGAGGAATAAAGACTATTAAAAAGGAAAGTGAGGAGTATCAATGCAGGAAAATTCCACTGGGGTAAGAGGCCGTACATGAAAGAAAACATACAGAAAACACTTGAAGGTAAATGGCTGTTTATTTCTGCTTGAATGCCAATGCATATGCTGTGGCAGATTGCAGGCAGCAGTCTCCATAAAGATGCTTGTGATCGGAGTTCAAAACTGTTGATGAATTAACCATTCCCCTGAAAGCAGCTCTGCCCTGAGTCTGTGACACTCAGTGTAACACTCACTGGAAGTGTAACCTAAAATGCAGCTCTAAGCTCTGAAAGCCTGGAAATTAGAAGACTTTGCAGATGGTCTCTAATTTCTACTTGAACTCACAGTCAATTGACACTACTCCTTTCACACCTTTGCAATACCTGGTCACAGGCAAACTATGCAGGCTAAAGCCTGTGACGAAACCATTATTCCCTTACATCCAATACTTGAACACTGGGAAACCTGTGTTTTTTCTGGTTTTCTATGTGCCAAGCTATTCAACGTCCTTTGCATCTTAATACCATTTATAAAATTCTGAAAGAAGCCACTGCAATGGCAGTTCACGTTAAATATTTTATTTCTTATGATTTACAAACGACATACAAAATTGACAGTTTTTCATACCAAAGTTAAATAAGATGAAGCAATTGAAAGTAATCAAAAAAATTATCATATTCAGAAGTATTTAAGCTGTGACTCTGATACTCAGATTCAAGGACGAAAACCTTAAAAGTATGAGTAATTTTAATTAGCACAATAATACAAATAAATACAGCAGTACTATACAAAACCTTACAGTTCCTATCCATGAAAAATAATCGCAATACAAATCTGTTTGCCTCAATGTTGCTTAAAGTTAAAAGTTCAAATATTGTCAAACAGCTAAATTTGATCTGCAGGTCACCAAGTGCAGCAGCTCTGCCAAACTATCACCCAGGACCAAGTAAAAAGTGTGTTACAATGCAGAGTACCCAAAAGCCTAAGCCCTCATGCAAGCAATAGCAAAGAATAATAAACTTTTCTTGTCATAGGGCTAAGACCCAGCATTACCAACTATTCTTTATTCACAATATAGAGATTTCTTGTATGTCTCCTGGGAAGAAGCTGGGAAAGCAAGCAAGGTTTCAGCAATATCCACAGACAGCGGCATCACAATTTATGCTCCTATTATATGGCTACATTCCTACAAAACAAGCTCACTGAAAGTTTGCCTTTATGTATAGAAATAAACCACACCACCTACTATTTGTGATTACCAAGTCCATTAGATTTTACTCTCCTTGTAAATGCATGTTGCTACTGGAGCTTATCTGACATTACTACAAATATTTGGTATGAACGTGACATTTAAAAACAGGTTAAGAAGCATAACAAGACTGCTTTCTACTGTTTTTTTGTTTCTAAATCCTGGTTAGTAGTCACTCTCAAAATCAAATATTGAAGATGTTTCCTGCAGTTCAAGTTTGCATCTTCCCATTGAGAAGAGCAAGCATCTGCAAAAGCAGGGCCATGAAGTATTTCCCTTACTTAATATTATTCTTTAGGTTGAGAAATAACTAGAACTTATTCTTGTTTACACTGAATCTGAAACTGCTGTTCACTTCAGTCTTTACCCTTGTTCAAGTAATATCAGATGCTTCTTTCCTACACAAATGTCCCAATACATCTTCGATACAAATTCCCAAATCCTTTTAATTCTGGAAGAGACACAGCCTTGCGTACAAAACATACTCCAGGTGTTGAATGTTTAAGAGTGGCAAAACATCATCTTCTGCAGCCTCAGTATTCTAGCTCACCATGCAGGAATACACAATCTGCTTTGCACCCCTTCACACTGCTGTGAAAGATTCTTTCAGTCACAAGAACACGACCCACAAATTTCAGAAGGCTTACATAAAGCCAGGATGAAAAGCAAGGACAATCCAGGAATGAAGCATATACTTATGAATTTAATGCAGTATTTAAAGTATTATTAAAATTTTAAAGATTTTATTTACATCTTGCACCTATAGTGCAGTAATTCTGTCCTTCCATGTTATGGATACCAATTCCACTTCTGAGAATAAAATAATAGTTAAATTTTGATTTAACTTGTCCATTTAGCTATCTCCCTCTCTTTCCTAAGTTCTTCCTCTCATGGAAAACACTGAATAAGGGAAAGTGTTCACTTAAAAACATTTTATAAGCAATTATATTAAATGCAATGCATTGTAATCACTGAACAATGCAGAAATACTTTTGCACATAGAATTTACAAAAGCACTAAAAATAGAAGTCTGAGGATCATATCAGAATGCGAGGCAAAGAACACACTTACAACCAAGCAGCACGGACATTAGTGGGTTTAGGTCTCTGTAATACCCCACTGGCTAAATCAGACATGGGCTTTTCGTTTCTCTGGCTCAGTGTACTTTGTACAGTGGATAATCTTGAAGTTCCTCCTGTTAACACACACACAAAGGGAGAATGCTTGTGCTCAGTACAACAGAAAACTTCATGCTATGTTACTACTGCAATGGTCATTACCACAGTTTACAGAAAAAAACCCCAAACAATTCACAGTAAATTGAATACAAACCCAAAATGTTATGAGTTGTTTGTAAATGATCAGGACAAAGAATTCAGGCGTGTGGTTCTTTAACCCAACATACATGGATCTATAGGGACACATTACCTACTTCCAAATCTTACACACACAATTTCTGAGAAAAACAAGGCTACTATCAGTACATCTACATTTTCTGAATGAGAATTTGAATCTTCATTGAGGTTTTTGTGAGTGTTTTGGTTGGTTTTTTTTTCCCCCTTCTATTCTTCTTTCAGTATTGGCAAAATTAGGAACACTCTACAACAGGGATTTTTTCTTCTCGGACA